TTATAAAAACATTCCACAGCATTTTGAGCCACAGATGCTCTGGTAACCAGCACTCAGAGCAGCAGCTTCTCATCTCCACAGGGATAATATACCTGTTAAGATTTAGGATGCTCTACAAAAAAGCAATTACTGCTTGTTAGAGATACCACATAAACACAGGTAACAAGGGGTGAATTATCACTGCATACCAAAGTGATACAAAAATGAACTTTAGTCCTGTCTCCCTGTACTTTCATTAATGCTTAAAATAGGAGCAGGCTGTAGCACAGTATAGATTTAAATTCAAAACTGATTCTTTTCTTCCTTCCTCCAAACTGAAAAGCAGGAAGAACCCTCACATGGTAGACAATATTTATTACTACTACTACTACTATATTACTACTATTAACAGTTAAAATAAATACTAGGATATTAGATCTTCAACTGTGTATAAAATTTATACACTGTGCCTGTTTTATTCCAAGCTCATCCTCTGAAATTATGTTTCTATTTAAATTGGAAGCAAAAAGGTTTTAACAAAAACCTTTGATATTTTTTACATTGCTTCCAAAAACTTTTCTAGTCCATCAGATCAGGAAACATGACTTTGCTGGGGTAAGGAGCCCAAAATCACCGCTATGAGTCCTTTGCTGCCCAGAATAACTTACTGTGGTCTTCAGATGCAGCATTAAGTGATGCAACATTTAAGAATCTGAATATAACTAGAAATTTCAGCAATAATTGATACTCTTAGACAAGCACAGTTGAGGTTTGTGAGTAGACTCCAGATAAAAGCTTTATTCTGGGCAGGAGGGCACTGAAGGGCTGGTCTGATCCAGGTGTTTGCCATATGTTTATACTTGGGAGATTTTAAGCAGTTCAGGTGCCATAGAATCACAGAACCACAGAATGGTTTGAATTCAAAGGGACTATAATGATAATTCAATTGCAACTCCCTGCCATGGGCAGGAACACCTTCCACTAGACCATGCACAGAGCCCCATCCAACTTGGCCTTGAACACTTCCAGGAACAGGAATCTACACTCTCCTTCAAGTAATAATTAATGAACAAAAACAATGATAGCAAACAGAGCCAATACCTGCCAAATGCCAGCAATAAGAAAGTTATGTTGCCTTGAAAAATGAACACATGGAGCATCACCTGTGAGCTCTGTGCAGAGAAGCTTCCCCAGGGACACAGTTCTCCTCACAAGAGCATGGGGGGCTGTGCACAAGTTCCTGACACTTCTTAAGTAGGAGGATAAGTAGCAAAAAAAGCACGACATGAAAGCCAAATTAAAGCAATTAACTATTTCTAGAAAACCACAGAGCAGTTATGGCTCTTTAGCTCTGAGCAGACCACAGAACACCTGCTAGCCTTTACTGTCACTGCTCAGGAGCTTGGTGACATCCTAATACTTAACAATGCAGCACAAAACAACTCTCCATGTACCACAACACAGGACTATTCTCCACTTTCACACTATCAAGTTATGACAATATTATTCAAGCCACCAGCAGTGCCCCAGGAAACATAACACAGAATTTGTGTTAGAGGAGCTCTGCTCCTGGAAGGGCTGATGAAGACCTGCAGCACTGCTCTGCTCATTTTAGGTTCAGAAAAGGAGATGCAAAGTCTGCCCCAAGAACCATGGCAAAACCAGACTGGCTTCAGCATGCACAGGAAAGCAGCCTCTCACAGAGAAAGCAGGGAATGGGAGAAGGAGGCTCTCAAATTTCAGTATTTAAGATGCTTTGCAAAATATCCCAGGAGGCTGAAAGAATCAGCCTGAGCTACTAGTGAGGATTACCCAGTAGAGACTGAGCAGACTAGCACCACTGGCTTTCCATCAGAACCTCTTGGCCAAGATCTCCTTCAAACCCAAAGTCCAGGGTTATTTCAGATCCAGATTGTTTGTCTCTTTCCTACTCATACAAGAAATTCCCTTCATTACCACTGGCAGTTACTCAGAAAGCAGCATCTTTTGAGAATTCCTTTCTAGAAGAGGTGACCCCAGATCACATTACCTGGTGTATCATGGACCACCCACAGCCCTTCTGAGCCAGCACAGAGCTGCCCATGAATTGCACTCACCTCTGGAACATCCAACTTGAACATGCAATCAGACTTGCTGAAGGCAGAGGCAAAAACTTGTCCAAAAACAACACCCCAGAGCGGTAAGCTCTATATATCTGATATTTTGGCTGAATAGGATTTAGTCGCATGATGGTACAACCCTGAGAAACTTCACCCAAGTCCACATGCAATTCCCAGAAGCTTCAAGAGTTTTCCAGCAATCCCTGGAACCAGCCTATGAGAAGTTTCACACAACACACTAGTAGACTCCAAAATTAATACAAACCAGAAATGCTGCAGCTTTCCAGTCAAACACTAATGCTGTCATTTTTTAAATCAAGTTTTCATTTTAGCTCTTTCATTGAAACTGGAATTTCATACTGCATATACATATTTATTAACTATTCTAATCAGGACTAAAAACATTCCAGAAAACAAACCTGCTCTCAGGAACACCCCATAAATTTGAGGGGTGAAAGGCTGTGCATCAAGAAAAACACACACCATCGTTATATTAGAGGGTTGATTTCTGATCTGAAAGCCTGTAGTCTTATTTTCTTAAATAAATTCAAAGCACAGCTACAATAATTCTACCATATACCATGAAGAAATTGATTTAGCAATCTGAACATAAATTAAGCAATGTTTTTGATTCAGTAAATTTGTTCCTATGTAGATCAGAACAAGTATTAGTGAAGGTCAGTGACCCATACCCACATATTTGAGGAGGTTCACAGAATTTTCAGTCAGAGCACACTTCAAAATTGCTTGACCTGTAAATTAATATTTTACTCATTTTCAAAGGGTTTTAGTAACTTGCTAGGAGCATTTCTAGTTGTGATTCAATATTTTTAAATACATGTTAATGGATATATGTATTAATCAAACCATAAAATTTGGAACCCAACAAACCTCTCACAGATAAGGAGTTGCAAATTGAACAAAGCCCTATAACGTTAGAAAAGGATTTCAGGTGGCTTTTATTATTAGGATGGTATTACAGATAAGCTATTTTCTGCAAGAGAAAGTAACTGCTGTTTACTCTGAAAAGGTGATTATCTCAGTTTCACTGACCTACCTGAAAGCTACACTCAGAGCTTTCAGATTCATTTTGATGTTTGGTGCCACACTATAAACACTATTTCTTGTGAAAACAAGCTTTCTGTACAGATATTTTTTTCAAAAATCTGAATTATGACTTACATTTCTTGAATCAATTTTAACTGCAATCTTTGTACATTCATAATTTTAATATTCACACTTGTTCAATCCTGTGCAAACCTAAGCAAATACATTTTTAGCTGAGATCCACCTCAAGCAAGATCAAGTAATTGGTACAATAATATTATGGTCTTCAGAGAAAGATCAAATGAATTAGTGTCTTTCAAATAATATAATAATTCTATGATTTATGTTAAAGTAAGTAGAGTAACAAATTCAATTCCTCAGAGCAACTTTTAAAAAATCAAAATTAATGTGCATTAGTGAAAAATGGCATTTTTTTAACTGCACAAGAATGAAAATTATTTAATAATTTTTAATAAAAAAGCAAAATTGATCAGACATCCTGCAAGAACAGGTTTAACAAACTGCCAGTGTACTACCTGACCTATGCAGCAGCAGAATAACAGTGGAGGTGTGGAAGGGAACTGTTTTTGTTCACTTTTACAGAACAGAGGTTGAATACCTGAAGGACAAAGTGCACCTGAAACAGACCTCAGAGCAGTAGAACATCCAACACCACTGAAATTACTTTTGAGCCCTGCTAAGCAGCAAAAAGCACTTTTTAAATTGGCTTAAACTATAATGCAGACAACTGGGTATTTGTAGATGGAATGTGATTGGGAGAAATGGGATCCTCCAACTACAACCAAATCCTGAGGTTTAAATAGATCCAACTGCAACATGACTCCATCAAGGGTTAGCATTAGCCTGGCAATGACGTGTCTGCCAGCACAGAAACGTTCAAGGCAATGGCAGATGAAAAACAGCCAAGTGTCCTTTCCCTGTCTTCCTGCACCATCGCCCACTTTCAGACATTTGAGCAACCATTGAGTGAACATACAGGAATTAAATAACTAAAATTGTGTCAGCATTCATTCATCATTTACAGCTCAACAAAGTCACAGTTCTAGATTTTTGTGGCTTTATTCACCTGTCTTAGCCTCAGACTTGTGAAAATCTGAATTTACATCTGTGCCACAGGCAGTGCTGAGGTCTGGTTCAGAAATCCAGTGTCCCACTGAGACAGCCTGCTCCAAACACTGCTGAGACAGGGAGTGCTCCATTCACATCCCTGTGACAGCAGCCAACACTTACCTTCAGCACTGGAAACAGGCTCAGCTGCTTCTCCACTCCCAGAGCCCTGGGCTGAGCATTGAGGTGGTACTGCTGTCCCACCAAGATGGGCACTGGGGTTGAAGGAGATCACTGCTCACTAATCACTGTTCCCTGCTCCCTTTCCTATTCCTCTGTGCTTCAGAAAGGTGTCACATCAGTAAGTCTGGAGGGGAACACTTCGGGCAGTAATTGTGCTGATTCTCTCAGGACCAGCTATGGGTCATATGGGTCAGTTTTCCTTCAAAAGAGCTTTTTTTTTTTTTTAGGCTTCACCTAAATGTGCACTGACCCAAATGAAGAGCCAGGACAGTTTGCTTGTTAAATTTAGCGTCACTGGTGTCAGCAGCCCCAGGAGACAGCACGCTGTAAAGTCTTTGGGGCAAACACAGCATCTCCACAGCAGCCAGATGCACAATTTCACTTCTAGATGGTATCAATATACCAAATAAGTCTAAGAGTTTGTTTCACTGACCTCCTCAGGAGGTGTTTAATACAAATATACATGGATAAGCCCACGCTTGTTTTCTCTTTGCAGTATAGAGAGCCTGAACACAGCCCAAGAACAGAAACCCAAGAGCTGTAGCTGCAGCTGGTGTACAGTACCTCTTGATGCAACCTCCCCACATCCGAATACAGGCTTCTGCTCTGGTCCACATCCATCCATGCCCTTGTGACCAGAGGGAAAACCCCCAGCAACACTAGGAAGCGCCTAAAGCTCCTTGCTGTCATCATTTCAAGCCTGTTAAAAAAAAAAAATAATAAATAGAACAGTTATAGAACACTCATCTTACAACAAAAGCCAGGTTCAGTAACAGAGGCTTCAGCTGACGGTGTCCATCCACAGTCTATGCCTACAGATCCCTACAGTCTCCAGTGTATTGGCAATGAATTCCTATATTGTAGCAGTTTTATCACAAAACTGTCTTCTTCTGGACATGCCTGTTGCCACACAGCACCTGCAGAAACAGTCCTGGGATTTCTGCAACTACTGTGGCCAAAAGCAAACCACATCAAAACATGGTCTTGTGGTACTGCAGAAACCAAAGGGTGAATTTTATCCCTTCTCCAGAGCCCCCAGCAGCACAGAGTCACTCACAGTCAGGGACTCACACCTGCAGCCTCAGCAGATTTTCAGGAAAATGCCAGACACAGACCTTTGCTTCTCTGACTACTGGAGGCTCCCAGCAATGTGACAGAAAATATCATTATTCCCCTCTGACTCAGAGGGGGACATCGCCTTGAGCAGATACAGCCACTGCCAACCCCCTTGGCTACAATCAGGTGTGTAGAGTGAGCCAGGGCTGACAGGTGACTCCAGCACACAGGGACATTCATCCTCCTGATGAGGACACCTGCCCAGACGATCACCAAACACATCCAAACTGGAAAGACACAAAACAAATCCTATGCTGAAGAGGGCTGACATGTTTCTCCAACCATGATGGAGTTGAGTCCTACCTGGGGCTGTGATTCCTGCACTCATGTTCTTCTGTCCCAAGCAGAGACATTTCCAATCCCTCCCACACTCAACTCCACTCAAGAGCAGCACAATTTCCCTGGCAAAAGCCTACCACAGCCCCACATAATCTGTGGGGAACTGGATGCATGCACTTTGAGCAGTGGTTCTTGTGTAGTTTTTTAATGAATTTGGAAAGAACACCAATGCAGTTAATCAAAGTGGCATCAGATGAATTCTTGTGTTTCACACATTACAACCCTGAACTGGTGCCCTGGAAGCTAAACCAGAAGCTGTACTTCCTCTGGACTTAAAATAACACAAGATTGTGTTACTACCTTCTACAATTAAAATACCAAAGGAACATTCAGCCCTGGAACCATTTCTGATATGGCTGAGGAAGGCTTAAACAGACCTGTTAATGAAGCATAATGACCCTTAATGAAATTATGGCATTTCTATAGGAAGAAGGACAGACTAATGCCTGGCTTGAGCCATACACATCAACAAGGAGGGCCACCTGCTAATGGCAAAACTCAGCCAAGCTGAATTAACTCACCATGACACACCTTGTCTTGACAAGACTCATTTTACAGTCTTTTCATGCCATGTATTTGCTACAGGGTATATCCAAGCCTTAGTGCATCACTCCTAATTTTGGAGCCATGACCATTTACACCAGCAGTGACACTCTCAGGTATCTCATTTGCCCAAAGACACCCCATCACTAAATTGAGCATAGCATACAGCACCCACAGAACTCAGCAACGCCTTTTCTTGGCACTAATGTAAACACACTGGAGAGCATTCAGGATGAAATCAAAATTTATTAGGCTTTCTAAATTCCAATTATGAACCTCAGATGTAATGTAACTGGGGCTACAAATAAATGTTTAATAAACCAAAGTCACTACATCAATAAGAGACAAGTACATTGTTACTTTATGAATTGCTCTTGCACAGCAACATTATTTCTCACAGGGTTTTGTTATTTTTTTTTCTTTAATAGAGGTGTTTTGTGTGCTCAGTTGATGCCATCACAGCAAATAACATCACAGTTCTAGAGACCTCTGAATCATATTCTGCTTGAAATTACAATCCCAAAGCATGACAGGGAAATCACTAATTTAATGTGTATTTAGTAAACAACTCACAGAAAGCATGAAGGAAGATAGCTGGATTAGGATCTGTAACACTGATGAAATTGAAAGGGCAGACTGTACTTGACAGCAACTCTGGTTGCTTTATAAACAGAATTTCTAGAACATCTTCTGTCAGTTCAGAAATCACTTATTTTTATTTCATGCTAACAGCACACTAATTGCTCTCAGTCACAACAAGAGAAGGACACTTCTATATCTTAATAAGCCTAATCTTGCATCATAATAGCCGAAACCAAGCAATAAATATGTACCATAAATACCAACTGAGAGCTTACTCTGGAGTCACACAACATTTTCATGTCACTTGGCATCCTAAATCACAGCTCAGCACCGCTGTACCCTGAGCTGAAGGGAAGGCTCCTTGCAGAACCCGGTCTGCAGCTATTACATACAATACAGCTACCAGATTGCAGGTTAAAAGTTCCCTGAAGTCAACAAAACAGCTGAAATTGATTGAATAGATCCAGACCACCACTCAGATCAGTTTTACTATTAATTTCCTTTCCTCACTCCAGGGAGGGACAGAGCTGCTGGATTTGAGCTCGTATGGACATCGCTGTCCAGAGAAATCAAAGCTTCAAAACGAAATGTCTGCATAAAACAGACACAACATAAAAGCAGTTGTACTCAAAGAAAGAATAAATATTGGTCTTTGTGATAAAGAATACACTATGCAAAGCTAAAAAGTTTACCTGAAGGTTGTGGTTTCTTCCTCTGACCTAGAGCAGCCTTCCAGCTTTCCTTGCAGCTGGCACTGCTCTAGCGAGCATCACTCCAGAAGTACAGCAGCACCAGGCTATGCACTGTTATCTGAAGCAGCTCAAACACGATGGCAACAGCAAAACACCCATCCCAAGGCCAAATGGGTCTGGGCAGGCACCAACACACAGGGAGAGCCTCAAATTTAAAGTAAATGGTTGCAATGTCTCCAGTGGAAGAACGGCAAGCACATGCTAACCAAAAAAAAGCACAGGTTTTAGGGTACAGGTTTGGGAGCTACTCAAGCAAAAAGGGTCACCTTGAAAAACAACAGGGACTACGCATCTTGGCATTTGAGTGGAGAACAGCACAAACTGTTTAAAGCATTTCTGCAACATGCAACAATCAGATCTTGCAGTGATCCCACAACTTTTTCCTCCGCAACACAAAAGCTTTAAGAATTTGATTATGGTGACTGTAATGAGATTAAAGAATTTTTCAAAAGCAGTTATAGGTTTTGCTTCAGGGCTATTTAAATTGCAGCTTATTTGAGAAACTAGTAGTTTGCAATAGCTTTCACTAATTTCCAACAAGCTTCACATCAGAAAGAGGCTGAACTTAATTACCTGAAGTTCTGACTGTTGCTATAGCAAGAAGAAAGCATTTGGACATAACTATTACCTCTATTCAAACTGATGCTATTAAAACCAGAAAAGCATCTGGTCCTTAGTTCCTGCTATCAACCTTCCCAATTGCTCCACCCTTATCTAAACAGCATTTCTATTGCCGGCAAAATAATTTTGAGATCAGAAATTTCTTGTTAAGTGCTACAAAACTAACCTACAAAAATTAAGTAGAAAAGCCAATTGTTTCGGCAAGACATAATGAAACCGAATAATTATTTCTGTCAGCTGTCTGCAGTTAATACTTAAAGTTTGGGTGCATTAAGAACTCATGGGAATCAGCTTTTATGCTTAAGTACAAACCGGACTTTTCATTTGAGCAAAACCTACGCAAAAATATTTCATTTAATTAAATGTAATTTATTAAATTTGATTAGATTCCCTTTCATTGAAATTCTCCAAGACACTTCAACGTTCTAGAATAAATCTGGGGAGCGTCAATCCAACAGGAATGCGGGACTACCAGGAAACTCCTGAACCTCGCAGAGATTTCGCCTCGGTTTTCGAAGCTGTACCCACGACACGTTCCAAAACAGCTTCACTCCGAGGTGACACGCGGGTAAGTCCCACGCCATCCCTCCCGTGACCCTCCGCTGGGCAGCGAGCGGCCAGCTCCGGCCCGGGGAGTATTCCCAGCATTTCAGGGACCTGGGGAAGCCGGCTGAGGCTGCCGCCGCCAGCCCCGGGCCGGTTCCGGGCGCGGGGGGCTCAGCCCGGCCCGGCCCGCGGCACCACCCAGCGGCCACGCCGGGAACCAGCGGCCCCACGCGGGACCCGCGCCCGCCGAGGGCGGCCTGCAGGGCGAGCGCTGCGGCACCGCGACCCCGGGCGGCAGCCGCGTCCGCCCCATCCCACCCCACGGGCGGCATGTCCACGGTGCGGGACGCGAGGTAAGGAGGAGGAGGAGGAGGAGGAGGTCCCCCGCTCGCAGCCCGTCCCGCCCCGCCGCCTCCCGGCCCCGCGGCGGGCACACACCTGTTACCTCCCCCGGCCCCGCGGGCGCGGAGCGAGCGCTCGGCGGGGCGCGGCGGGCGGCGGCACCCGGAGACTGCCCGGCGCTCCCGCGGAGCGTACAGAGGAGGGAAGCGAGGGTGCCACAAGCGGTCGAGGATGAGGACGCGGCCCCGTGCGGAAGCCCGCGGCGCGGGGGCGGCACTCACCTGGGGAGAAGCCGGGCAGCGGGGGCTGCGGGCGGAGCGCGGCGGGGCCGGCGCGGGCAGTGCGAGGCGCGGGCCGGCCCGGCCCTATTTCTGCTCTCCGGGCCGGAGCCGCCTTACGTCAGCGCTGCATTTGTATATTCCGCCCAATCCCGGCACCTGTGCGGGCGGCGGGACCGCCCCGGGGCTGGGGGGGCCCCCTCGGGGCGCTGCGGGCCGGCGGAACCGCGGCTCTCCCGGAGCGTCCCGGAGCGGAGCCGGGAGCGCGCTGTCCTCGGGGGGCTGGTGCTGCTTCGGGGTGCGGCAGCGGAGCCCCTTGTTCTGACCGCCCCCAGCAGCCACGTGCTTGGGAGAGCTGATGCGGGGCAGAGCGTTCCCGGGCCGCCCGCAGCCGGGCTCCACCGGGCCGCCCGGCCCTCATCGTGTGGCCGTCAGACGGGGCTGACACCGTGGGACACCGCATTGTCTGCCGTGGGACGCCGTGACCCGCCGGAGCAGGCACTGCACGGCACTGGGCTGTTCTGGAGGTGTGCCTTCTATGCCTGCCTATCAGTGTTTATAAAGAGAGGCAAACATTAAAATTCATTCACCCTCCTCTTCCTCTTCATCTCGTTTCCAAAAAAAAAACAACCAAAAAAACCTGCAAACAAAACAATAACCCAAAACAATATATAATATAATAATTGCTTATCTTGTTTTTAACAGGGATGTTTGCACGAGCAGGAGGCATGGCAGGAGTACAGAACCGGACTATGTGGGGTATTTGTTCCAAAAGCTGCAAGGAGGTTTAGCAAAGGTGATGAAGCACTAAGAATTAGCAACAGGAGAGAATCAGTTTAAAAGACTTGATAAAACATCAAATTTTCTCTTTTTTCATGTAAAGAGTCTTACAGTTGGACCCTGCAGAGTTAGATTGGATTTGCTATTGGCTTCATCATGAAAAGGACAGGACCCTGTAGTTCTGATGGTTAAAGAGATGTGGGCTTCTCTGGGAAGCTGGGTCTAAGTTTCGGAGAAAATGTGTTTAGTAAAAAATCATTCCACAAAATTCAGCACAAGTTTGCAGAAGGGGCTCTTTCATGACTAAATTTTGGGGATTTTATTTTTTATTTTCTATTTTCTTTGCAGGAAATGACAAGTGATCAGACTGGTTGGTTTTCCAGAACCTATGTTTCTGGCCTGTTAAATCCAATACCACTAAAATATTTTCAATGTTTGCAAATAAATGGAACTTGTTCTTCCAAAACACGCACAAAGGCACGTAGGGATTTGTTATTTTGTGGTTTCCTTCTTTAGGAAGATCTAAAATTGCAGATTTAAGGTTTGGATTTTAAAAAGGTATCACAAATGTAATTTTCAAAAAGGAGTACCCACTGTGAATTGTGCCCAGGCAACATAACAGAGGTCTTTGCAGAGTGTCCTGGAAGAAATGAGTGTGTATTTCATAGGTGCCCTATAGGTTTAAGAGATCTGAGGTTTTAAAAAAATAACACTGAAATCTAATCAGTGACAAATATGATGTCTTCAATGAGATCTTTTTCTCTTTCCTGAGAGGAAAAAAAAAAATTGGAAATAATATCAGTAGAGACAACTCTTCCCCATTTCCTGAAGGGAAGGAAGGTCTCCACTTACCAGCATCATTTATTCTATGAAAATATGTCTCTGCTGTCAATTTGAAGTATTTACTAAACTCTCTGTATCTCTTCAAGTCGGACATAAATACAAGATGCATTAGTAGACATCTGAAGTATCTGCACAGCTTCTGTTTATTTATATCCACACATGCTGGAGGATACAGTTTCTTCCCCACCAACAGCTCGCCTGGGTGATATTTGCCAGCTCAGTTTTGTAGCAGGAGGAACATTTTACTTCTTTTACACCGTCTGATGCAGTTTTCAATGCACAGGCTGGGGCTGCTGTGTTTCTTCAAGACCCTGGTAGCCAAGGCAGGTAGGAAAGTGCCATGACCTCCCTGTACCATCAGCTGTGTACCCCCAGTGAGGGGTTTTGGGGTCCCTCCCTGCAGCTCTTGGGGCTCACCCACCTCCTGCACCAGCAGTGCTGCTCCTGCTTTCCCACCTGTTTGTGAACTTCTAAATAAGCACCCTGAGCATCTCAACAGCTAAATAAGGAGTATATTTTCCCTGCACAGTGTAAGTGTTGGACAACTTAGCCCATGTAAAGTCTGCTCTTCCATCAGCTCTCAGGTGCTGAGGGTGTCCATGTTCCTAAGCAAGATGTCCCTTTCCCACCACTGACAGAAGTAGGTACCAACAAGCATTTTTAGCACCTCCTTTTGCACATTTGGGTCCAGTGCATTTCTCTGGTGTTCTAGTTCAAATCTTTTGATGTTTCCAAACTTTTGAAAATCTTGTTAATAAAAAGCAGATGGAGGCACCCCTCCTCACACCCTCAACTCCAGCCAGCTCCATACCACGCTTCTTCAAACACTTTCAGACTGTCCTGAGACCTTTAAAAGCCCTGTGGAAGTGTGTCTGCATCCCAAGAGGGGTTTTTGAATGGATGCTGTGGAAGCTTTTCAGGGAGGGAGTTGGCCATCTCCCCATTCTGGTTCAGCCACTTTTGTGAAGCTGAGCAAAGCAAACAGCTTTCTTAGAGAACTGGAGAAATAAACTGAGCAGGCTGGCAATGAAAAAGTGATAAAAACCTTATCTTATCTATAAAAACCTTATCTTCAGGGCTCAATGAGTTTGAAGCAAAATAATTGTTGCTTTCTTTTGAACTGTGAATTGAAGAGACCCCAAAAAATAATGATTGTAGTTAAAAAGAAGAGAAAAATGGATGGTTTTAAAGACAGACTTGAGCACCTAAAAATTCTTAGGCAGAGAAAGGGGAAAAATAAGCTTTTTCCTTCCATGGAAACACGGGATAACTTATTCACTGTAATGAGATTTAAAGCATCATCCCATTCCTTCTGTTTAAAAAATATATATTAGAACCAGAAAACTCTGAAAGTTTAGAGGAATTGAAGCTGCAAGAGACAATAGATTAATATGATGTGGTCAAATTTGAGGACTGTGAAGAAGGAGGGACTTGTGCCAGTCCCAGCCTTGTGCACTTCAGTGAGAGGCGCTGGAGATATGCAACTTCTTGTTAGCTTTGACTGATGGGACTTCAGGAATCTGATGAGAAATTTTAAACAGATTGGCGAGGCACAGCTCTGTGTCACTGAAGATACAATCACATTCCAGGCTGACCATGAGAGTTGATTTAAGGAAAAGAGTTTTAAAGAACAGATGATCTTGTCTTACAGAGATTTTCTTTCTTAATTTACAAAAAAACAGCACAACAGAGCACTGCAAATAGCCAAGACTCTCTGAGCTCTACCCACAAAGGAATTAAGGGGTAACTATGTCAGCCATTTGAAGTACTTCCAAAATCTAGCAAGTGATGTTCAGAAGAGGAAGAGAAGGCTTCCTCTTTGAAAATTCAAACCTTTAACATCAGCATATCACCCAGCTACCTCACTTGTCCAGTCTTGCTAGCTAAATGCAGTAACTAATCATGAGATTTCAAAAGAACATTGTATTCACTCGAAACAGGAAGCTGAGGAGGTAATAGGACAACGAGATTCATGCTCATCACTTTGAGTTATTTGAACCAAGAGCCTAAATCAGACCTGATTAAGATCCAAACTCAAAACAAGATTCAATCAGAACTAGAGATATTAAACAAATACAAATGTGACAAGTCATGATTCAATTATTAGAAGTCCATCTTTTAATAACTCATTAAGATGACAGTGTGTATCTTTGCCTACGTACATTTAGCAAAGCCTTTTCACTTTGACAGTGCATAAAATTATCCCTGCCAACTGTATTTCTCTTACTTTTTATGTCAGCTTTAGAGTTACCAGTTTTTCATTATCGTCTTGCTCACAAATTAACAGGGAGAACAAATTTAATAGCAGCCTCAAACCTTTAGAGATTATGTCAGCCTTGTGTATCTGTGCCAGTTAAATAACCATTTATTTCTGCTTAAATTTAATGTGGTCATCTTCATACAAATACACACCCAGTCAGAGCCTGCTCTCGGGGTATGGCAAGCACACAACGAGGGGCTGCTCTGGAAAGCTGTCAAGGAGCTTGGGCTTGAACTTTTGTAATCACATCACCCTGTTTCAGATGCAGCAAATGGAGAGGATCAAGGTCAAGAACTTCAAACGTGCAAGAGGATTCTCTGGGTGCTGCTGTCCCACATCATTACAAGCTGGAATACCTATGGACAAATGTCTGCAGCAGCGCAGGGTTCTTCAGTAGTCAAAATGGGTTGAGACACAGATCTAGGTAAGGGGCTGGCCTTGGTGCCTTGGTGACCCATCCTCTGTCTTTGTCATATTTTAGTAAATGATTGCTCTGTTTGGTGAGTGCTGAGTTGCAGTGCTTCATCCCTGCCTTCACAGCTGTAAGTCCAAAATGTAAAAAATGGTATTTTTTTGTTCTAAAAGAAGTTTCATACTGAAGGAAATACAAAGAGTAGGAACAGTGGTTTGATTCATTTCACAGCCATTGTCTTTTTTGATTTGTTTGCAATTTTCTACACTACTGCTTCCAGTTTGACAGTGTCTGGGAATCAGATGACAATGGGAATGGGATAACAGATGATGAGCTCAAAATACTGAACACAATCATGCTTACCCTTACATGTACCCACAATCAATATGTCACTTTGAGGAAGGAACCATCAGCCACTGGGGAAAGTTTGGGATATAAAATGTCACAGGAACTCTAGTCACATTTCTTATTTCTTGGGAGTTGTTTGAGCAGCTGGCTTCTTGTGTATGGAACATGTGTAGTGTTCAAATAAATAGCCCCAGAGACCTGAATTCAAGTTGATGTGGCAATTTTGAGCAGTTCCCTCCTTCTCCATTGCCCTGGGAGCCACAGGCATATGGCCAAATGCAGGGTAATGGAGGGACCAGTGGGAACAGGTCCCATGGCCACTAATCCAACCTGTGGCTTTGGGAATGGCACTAATTTTCCTCATTTTTTTCCTCATCTCTGAATATTTTGTTGGTC